GATCGAGAATCGTTTTATGATCGCAGTTCATTTTTTCGACCGATTCACGACTTGTTCGGTGACCGTCCTCCTTCGAAAGTGCTTCGAGACGCTCTTCGTCGAATTCGGAAGGTCTTCCGCCGCGGAGCGTGTCGTCGACGTCGAAATCGCCATTTTTGAACTTCGCGAACCATTTCCGTGCTGTAGACTCGCCTATGACACCTTCTCCGTGTACGTTGCAAATGTCCCGGGCTGCTTCGGCAGCTTTTTGGCCTCGATGAAAAAAGCGAAGAAGAGAAGGTGTCGAAAATGTTGCTTTTTACCTCCTCGATATTCCATTTCTAAGCCTCGAAAGTAATAAAAAATTAAATTACTCGAAAAGACGATTAGCACAGTTTTGTAGAGCAGAAAGGGCTCTATCGAACGAATATTATACGCTTCGTCGAACAGCAACAAAATCGTTGTAAAATAAAAGAAAATATAAAAACGCTACGAACTTATTCCCCAACCTAATAGAAAAAGCGTAAATTCTTAACCTTTTAGGCACGACGCGCCACTATAGTGGCTTGCTCTAGTAGCTGTCTCTTATACACATCTAGATGTGTATAAGAGACAGGTATATACAGACAGAATATACAGTATCAGACAGATGTGTATAAGAGACAGGTATATACAGACAGAATATACAGTATCAGACAGATGTGTATAAGAGACAGGTATATACAGACAGAATATACAGTATCAGACAGATGTGTATAAGAGACAGGTATATACAGACAGAATATACAGTATCAGACAGATGTGTATAAGAGACAGGTATATACAGACAGAATATACAGTATCAGACAGATGTGTATAAGAGACAGGTATATACAGACAGAATATACAGTATCAGACAGATGTGTATAAGAGACAGGTATATACAGACAGAATATACAGTATCAGACAGATGTGTATAAGAGACAGGTATATACAGACAGAATATACAGTATCAGACAGATGTGTATAAGAGACAGGTATATACAGACAGAATATACAGTATCAGACAGATGTGTATAAGAGACAGGTATATACAGACAGAATATACAGTATCAGACAGATGTGTATAAGAGACAGGTATATACAGACAGAATATACAGTATCAGACAGATGTGTATAAGAGACAGGTATATACAGACAGAATATACAGTATCAGACAGATGTGTATAAGAGACAGGTATATACAGACAGAATATACAGTATCAGACAGATGTGTATAAGAGACAGGTATATACAGACAGAATATACAGTATCAGACAGATGTGTATAAGAGACAGGTATATACAGACAGAATATACAGTATCAGACAGATGTGTATAAGAGACAGGTATATACAGACAGAATATACAGTATCAGACAGATGTGTATAAGAGACAGGTATATACAGACAGAATATACAGTATCAGACAGATGTGTATAAGAGACAGGTATATACAGACAGAATATACAGTATCAGACAGATGTGTATAAGAGACAGGTATATACAGACAGAATATACAGTATCAGACAGATGTGTATAAGAGACAGGTATATACAGACAGAATATACAGTATCAGACAGATGTGTATAAGAGACAGGTATATACAGACAGAATATACAGTATCAGACAGATGTGTATAAGAGACAGGTATATACAGACAGAATATACAGTATCAGACAGATGTGTATAAGAGACAGGTATATACAGACAGAATATACAGTATCAGACAGATGTGTATAAGAGACAGGTATATACAGACAGAATATACAGTATCAGACAGATGTGTATAAGAGACAGGTATATACAGACAGAATATACAGTATCAGACAGATGTGTATAAGAGACAGGTATATACAGACAGAATATACAGTATCAGACAGATGTGTATAAGAGACAGGTATATACAGACAGAATATACAGTATCAGACAGATGTGTATAAGAGACAGGTATATACAGACAGAATATACAGTATCAGACAGATGTGTATAAGAGACAGGTATATACAGACAGAATATACAGTATCAGACAGATGTGTATAAGAGACAGGTATATACAGACAGAATATACAGTATCAGACAGATGTGTATAAGAGACAGGTATATACAGACAGAATATACAGTATCAGACTCTGTACAGTAAATATCAGACTCTGCCGTCCAGAGAAACAGCCTCGCGCGGAATTTAGCCGTACCTAAAAGGTTTAAACACTGTCCGGGCCAGGATCTCGCGTCGTTTCTCGGCCAGCACGAGCCCGCGAAGCGCGAGTCACGCGATAGAGTCCGCTTAAAACTCGATGACAGGTTAGTTGGTAAGCTTCGCACGCATCTGCACGACAATGCTTGCCCTTTCTTTCCGAAGAATCACTAGCCCGAGCTGTGCCTGACTTCCCTAGCCGCCGCCGAACGGCGCTGGCAACGTGGCCGGTTCCGGCGAGGACAACTACGGTTTGAACCTGTCCGCGGACGACGACGCCGACCAGGAGTCCGAGAACGAGGACTGCGGCCTGCCGGAGCTGAACATGGATCAGTTGTTGGGCAGCGGTAGCTTGGGCTCGCTCCGGTGTTTCCTGGGTAGGCGACGGTTGGAGCCGTTGCCGGAGGAGGAGGACTCGCCCGGGAGCGGGAAGGACCAGGTCGGATGGTGGTGACAGAGGTTTCAAACGACGACGTCGAAGAGCGTCGGCTCGAGCTCCGACGCGAACGACAGGGACCGCATCTTCGCGAAGCTGAGCCAGGAGGACGAGGAGTTCCGCCGGAAGATAGTGAACCTGCACCGGAAGTTGTCGGACGTGGACGACGGGTGCGCTACCACCGCCTCCTCCGACACCCTGAAGAGCTCGAAGGAGGCGGACCGGCTGAAGGAGCTGGAGTCGGTGGCCAGGAGGGCGGAGGAGACCTGCAACCGGAACGCCGAGAGGCTGGGCGCCGAGAGAGCCAAGATGGAGTTCTCGATGGAAGCCGCCGAGTCGCAGATACGGAGCCGCAGGTACCGAAGAGGCGACAACCAGTACGACCGGAGAAGGCAGATGGAACTGTTGCACAGGAAGTCGAAGAAATTCGACGACGAGTCCGACGATCCGAACGACAGCAGCCCCACGAGGACCTCCGAGAAGAACTTCCTGAACCGGCTGAGGATCAAGAAGCGCAGCATGAAGCTGCTCAGCTTCCTGAGCGGAAAGGCCGCGGACAAGTCGCAGGAGGAACGCGCCGCGAGGCTCCTCAGGATGTACATGCCCGAGAAGGGACCGAAAGCACAAAACACTATTTCTATTCATCATACGTCCAGGGACAGGCGATTCTGGAAACTCCGGAGTCGCAGGCGAACCAACTCCTCCTAAGGGGGAAGGGGGCCGGGGCTCTTGGCTCTTCGTGGAGACAAGGAGCGGAACGGGGAGCCGCCGTGTCACGTTGTTATTTAGGACTTCCAGTATTCGCGTTACTCCAAACTTTTTTCAATTCTACTCAAGCATGTACGAGGATCGAGCATTGTTTCCTTTCTCCATAGGATCTAGCGTAACCGCGTTACGGTATATTAGGTTTACGGATCTTCGAGTCTAGACTTGTATCTCTTCGTCCTGCGAAAAAAAACGGTCAAACAAATGTAAATCAGTACTATTGAACGGTTAGCGGATTACGAAACTTTCGGACACGTTAAAAAAAAGAGTTTTGCGTCCCTATATCGTAGCAAGCTTGTCGGATTATCGACGGAAACGGTCTCCTCCACCCCCCCAAACAACCACCTAACCCGAGAAACGAGAAACGCGAACGGCCTAGCGGGGTTCGTCTCGGAAAAGAAGACAAACTAGAAAACTAAAGAAAAGGTTTCGAGCTTACCGATCGCGTACGACTGCCCGTTACGATCCTAGTATCGCTCATTAACCATTAGACACGATATTCGATTTGATTTTCGCGTTTCGGTGACACCGTACTTAACACTTAAGTAGTAGGTCCGCACGACTGACCCAAAGCGGCACTCATCTTCCACGATAGAACTTTGCTCGAATATTATACAAGATCAGGACAAACGGATTGCGAGGGAGAAAAGAGAAAAATAAATGAAAATTTTAACATTCCTGTTGGTAGGTTGTAACGTGGCCGCACGGCCCCAAGTCGACACGCAAATAAAATATATTATTTGTTCAATGGTGATTTATTTTTTTTTAACTAACCGTGAACGATCACTTTATGCTTATATATAAATTATACTTATATAAGCGATCCATTTATCCATCTCAGCCTAAGTTTCTCGGATATAGTCCTACGCTCCATTCTTGCCATCGAATTCTTAAAATTTTTCGTCGCCTCGAGTCTGGCAGGATCTAGTTTGCCACCTATGTAAATATCCCCGCTCGAGTGGAAGTAATATTCTCTGTTCTCGTCAGCTTTGATCTCACCGTCGGGCAACTTCACCGGAGTAATTTTGATCAAATGCTTGATCTTCCACAGTTGACTGCACACTTCGGGCGTGTTTTTTACAAAAACAGGTTCGCGATTCTGTAAGAATAACGTCGACCATTATTTACGAGGGTTACATTAATCTAATCATCTAGTCTAGTTTTGCAAACAAGCCGAGCATGGTAGTTCTTCTCCTTGATACAATTCTAAACATAACCTAGAAAATCTAACCTACAAGACCCAGCAAATCTCATACATTTCAGAGGGTGTCTCATTGACAACCCACAGTATTTATATAAATAATAATCCTATTTTACATAATTAAATAAATTCTCACAACTTCACTTAATCCTATACGTTTGAGGGTGTCCTTATCCCAATAAGGATTGCCTTTGAAGGATTTTACCCTATGGATCATAAAAATTTTCGACGGTACGATCGGTGGATCGACATCGGTTTTATTGCTGAAACAGGCAAATTCGCAGAATCAAATAATAAGAAAATGCTCGAATAATAAGCATTTATTATTTTATCTTACCGCGGATAATATGTGACGCCTGGGTATTTAACAGCATCCGGTATCCACGCTTTCGGATTGTGACGATAACGAACGAACGTTAACAAAACGCTTCTCGGACGGTTTGCCAGTTTTGTTGCCATTGTAGTAAATATCATTCACATATTATTACTCGCATTAAACTAAGTTAAACAACCCTCCGTTTTCTACACACCTTGCTTCTGCCGCTGCTTTGCACACCGAACTCCGATTCACTCCGAACAGCGTATCAGCAATAACAGCAGTAATAATACACAGTGTTGCCAATTCGGAGAACCCTGAAGTCTAAAACATTGATCCTTCGAGCCTGATATTTTCCGATCTTCAGTGTATCGAGCTGTTCGCCTTCGTGCGTTCACGACAAAGAAGGATTTTGTTAAATAATGAAAATAATTAAATAATGTTAAATGACACTGTAATCACCGACGTCTTCGAAAACACATTTTATTTTCCATTATAGGAAATAGATCAGTTCGTAAAAATGAAAAAATTGGCGCTATTTGCGATCAGTGGCGCTACCGGTGGCTGAATTTGGTACTAAAGTCAGGGGGTCCGTACAGCGCCAAAGCACGTAGCGGCAAAACGCTCAAACTGTTCGACGAATTACCGACCGCGAATCATTGTTAGAGACATAAGATGGCGCCACCGTGTATTTCCGAAGGATAATTGATCTGTCGGTAAATTTGGCCAACAGTTTGGGCGTTTTCTCGCTGCGTGCTTTGGCGCTGTACGGACCCCTTAATTCTAGTTCGTAGTTTCGTCACGAGAGGCGCTACGATTATTCATCCGAATTGTCGAGTGGCGTTATTTACAAGTTTTAAGTATCTGTTTTTGTTGAAGAGAGAAGATTGTTGTTGAAATTGCTGTCATTAGAAAATGTAAACGTACAAATGCGACATTTTGTTAAATTTTCGTCCAAATACACTTATTATTATATTAATATATATATATATAATTTTATAATATATAATATATTATATAATATAATTATATATAATTATATATTATAAATATGTAATTATATATATTATACTGCTGAAACAAAATTGTCATAAATATATTTGTGATATAATTTTGCATAATACTTCATTATAATAACAAGAATATTTATATTTATATTTATATATTGTAAATGTGTAAAATTTTGTTATTATAAAGCGATATATCGGCCTCCGGCACTAAAAGGGTTAAGATCTGCGGACGGCATAGCGTTAATATATCTCGTTTTTGCCATCGTACGCGCAATTGAACTATTTTTCACGTAAATCCTGTCAAATCAATAATCGTGAAATCGAGCTTCTCTTAGATGCACTGCATCCATTCGAAAGCTCCTATCGCTAGGACGGTCCGTTAAAAAACAAAGGAATTCAAAATACATGGAAAATAATTCGCGCAGATTGTCGTTCTGTATTTCGCGATACCCGTTGAATTCAGCGAGAACCCCGTTGTACCACGGTCGCGATGATAAGGCTCTCGCGTGATTCCGCATAAAGGAGACACGCGATCGTTAAAAATACAAAACATTTTCGAAATGAAAACATTAAAACCGTGCACCCCGGATCGTGCCGCTCGAATTTCGTTTATCTTCGAGTCTGTCTGCATCGCGTATTCAAATATTCCTTCCCGTTCCTGACCTAGCTGGATGGCGTGCAATTCAGCAACCCCTTCGCGTTCGCAGATTGCCTCGAAATACAGTGCATTCCTCTGAGCTGCACGCTCGCAGGCATCTCGTCTCGCCGAACAATTTTCAAATACCGCATTGTCGTGTTTGCGAAAACACCAGGACGGATCGGCGACGCGTTTCCCCGTGAACGTAAATCGAAAAGATAAATCAGACGTCACCGGAATATTTCGGGAGCCACGCCGATTGCGACCTTTCCGCCGCTATTAACGCTTTTGTTTTGCAATCGCAGCCGCCTCGATAGCGATCCGTTTCAGTCGATGCGATTCGTTTTATTCTATTCCGTTGCCAACGGTTGTATTAAATCTACTGGCCCAAGAAGGAACGGGCGCACATTTTTTATTCTACAATTATTTGAGCCGTTTGGCATAAGTCACTTCACCGTAATGAAAAGTGGTGATTTTTTAATGTTTATACGAAATTATTTATACTGAGAAAAATATCAGTATCCTGAGATAACAAATACAAGTGAATCTTCTCGAAAGTTAGCATCCATATTTTTATAAACGTGTTAAAACGCGAACCCTTAAATATATCGACTTAAAAACAAAGTGACATATGCCACTTTCAAAATAAACGGCTCATTTGTACAGAGTGCCTTGTTTTGAGCGAGTGCAGCGAAACGGCACGGATGTAACTCGAGTTGCTAGGATCGTCTACAATGTGACTCGGAATGATATCCGTGCAGTTTGCACCCCTTTGAATTTGTCTAAGTGCTTGTTGTTATATTCCGAGGCAAAAGAATATAGCTTTCCGTCAAAAAAGTTTAGCCGACTTTGGAAGCTCTTTCACGTCTGCACTCAGAAAGAAAGCTATTAATACTGGATGACGTACCCTGTCCTGCCAAACATCTTTTTTGCAGCTCCCATT